AGAGAGCCCCCGAGCCCTCAATGGGGAGTCTCTGGGACCAGCACTACATGGTGGGAAAGCAATTCAGGCCCAAGATGGCCTCGAAGCAGCAGGCCCAGTTGGCCCAGAATGTCACATTCTGAGTGACAGCCATCCCCTCTGGCTGAGTTCAGAGGCAGGGGGTGTGGGGGAGGGGGTGGCTGAGGAAGCAAAGGCAGCAGCAGGGCTAAAATCCAGGGAGGTGGGAAGTAAGGAGTGGGAATTCGGGACCAGTATCCGAGAACACTGAACAATGCACAGAAGTGAAAACAAAAGGCCTGATCCAAGCTGGGAGCAAAGCAGGAAGGCGGTGGAACCTCAATATCAAATCACACTGAAATAACGGGGCAGAATTTCCAAGAATAAATGGTTTGGCGAGAGTATGTCAGATTTTAAATGATTTTAGATCATAATTACTAATGAAAGACTGAACTGCAATTAGTCATCTAAGATTCCAAGACAGAAAACAGAAATAAACACAGCATTCATTTTTTCCTTAAGCTGAAGCAAAGGAATGCCTAGTGACAAAAGGCGCCGCATGCTTGCGTTTCAGAGCCTGCCCTGGGCCCATGAGGCTTCTGGGTCCATGGCTTTAGTCCTCGGTGAGGACAGGGTGGCCTGGTGCCATGCCTCCCTGGCCAGCACTGAGAAAAATGCTGCAGTGGTAGGAGAAATCCAAGCACCGAGCAGAAAATGTCTGCAGAGACTATCCCTGTGCCAAGTGATGTTGCTTTGAGCGGGAGGGTTGCTGGGGAGAGGTGGGCAAGTCACCAACCAGGAGCCATGTGGATGGACGGCAGAGGTTCTTCCTCCCAGTGACATTCCTTTTACTCCAAGGAGGACACAGATGCTCAACAAGGAGAAAATGTTATAAGCTAAAAAAGGGCAGTTTCAAAAGGATGTGAGGAAATAGCTGACATCATAAGAAAACTTTCAATCACCTGGTTCTCACCTCACATCTCGTCCACCAGGACCTCCCCCCACTCAATCCTCTCCACTGGGTTTGCCTCTCTGATGGGATCTGACAGGCTCATCTTTAATTGGTTATTGCCACCGCTATCACCTGCAGCCTCAGAGACAAGGTGGCAGGCACTGCAAACCCAGTGAGACCCGCGTGGTCTCCATATCTCCTCCCTAGAGGAGCCCACCCTCCTAAGGCAGTGGTGAAAGCCATGAAAAGGCCTTGGTGCTGTGGAAAGCAGGGGAGGCTGCTTTCATCTAGGTTTGGGGTAAGGGTGGAGGCAACAGAAGCAGCTCCCTCTCCCTGGACCAGGATGGGAGGAAGATCCTGCCTTGCACGGACACCGTGATCACAGTCTACAGAGGGAACCGCCGTACGCAGGGCTGAGGCCATGTCCCAAGTCACCATCCGGGGACGAGAGTGTGTCCCAACAGATGACTGGGGAGTGACTAATAGAAACTCCACTAGCTGAGAATTCATCTGACCTGAGGGAGGAGGGCTTGGGTATCTGGGCTTGTTTTTTTTTTTTCCCCTCCCAAGCAGAAAATGATAAGGGGTGAGAGGATCAGATTGGCCCTAGGCCAGAGTGATGAGCCCCCATGGCCCACTGTCGCGTTCCCTGGCAGGGTGATGAGCCCCCACAGCCCCTTGTCCCCTTCCCTGGCGGGGTGATGAATGCCCATAGCCCCTGTCCCATTCCCTGGCAGGGTGGTGAGCCCCCATGGCTCCCTGTCCCCTTCCCTGGCAGGGTGATGAACCCCCACGGCCCCCTATCCCCTTCCCTGGTGGGGTGGAAAGCCCCAAGGCCCCCATCCCCTTCTCTGGCAGGGTGACAAGCCCCCACGGCCCCCTGTCCCCTTCCCTGGCAGGGTGACGAGTCCCCCACGGCCCCCTGTCCCCTTCCCTGGCAGGGTGACGAGTCCCCCACGGCCCCCTGTCTTGTTCCCTGGTGCTCCCAAGGGCTGAGGCTGTGCCTTTCTTTGTTCATCTGTAACCCTGGGATGCTGGCAGGGAAGCTCTGGGCTGAAGGGCTAAGTGATGGTGGTGAATTTGGGCCCCAGAAAGGGGCTTCCCACAGCAGAGGGGGTGCTGCTGTCTGGACCTGTGTGGCCCCCATCTCTTGGCATCTGTCATGTCAGCACGCTGGACTCGGTGCCCCAGACCACCCGGGGTGGCCGTTTCAGCTTCGGTGTCAGGCCTTAGGGCCTGATGTCTAGCCTAGAGGGCAAACTCCTCTGGGGAGGAGGGCGAGAGACAGCACAGGGGTCTGGCCCAGGAAAAGTGCAAATCCTTATAAATCATCATTTTGGTTTCTGGTTGGGAACTCAGTCTGTCAAGAGCGTGATTAATGTGAGTCTGTTTCTCAGAGGGGGATCCTCTCTGAGTGAACTGAGAGAACAGAAGGGCCAGGCCTTGGAGTCCTGTGAAGCCAACAGACACCTGAGCCTGGACACACCTGCGCCTGGACACGTCTGCGCCTGGACACGCCTGCGCCTGGACACTCCTGCGCCTGGACACGCCTGCGCCTGGACACGCCTGCGCCTGGACACGCCTGCGCCTGGACACGTCTGCGCCTGGACACGCCTGCGCCTGGACACTCCTGCGCCTGGACACGCCTGCGCCTGGACACTCCTGCGCCTGGACACGCCTGCGCCTGGACACGCCTGCGCCTGGACACGCCTGTGCCTGGACACGCCTGTGCCTGGACACGTCTGTGCCTGGACACGTCTGCTCCCGGACATTACTGTGCCTGGACATTACTGCGCCTGCACACGTCTGCACCCAGACATTACTGCGCCTGCACACGTCTGCGCCTGGACATGCCTGCACAGGGACATCACTGCCCTCAGGCAGGTGCCTGCTCCCTGAGCCTCTCTCAGCTGTCATTGCTCATGTGGACAGACAGCAAGCAGCCAGGAACACACATGTGGCCAGGGGAGACTCTGCAGGCTCCAGTAGGGCACTGTTCCACAGCAGTCCCTGTGAAAGGATAGTGACGCCCATGCCTCCCAAATGGGGTACAGAGTCTGACAAGGAAGAGTGTGCTTGGGGACAACAGGGCTGAGTGTATGAACTCAGGGCTGGTGGTGACTGCCTCCACCAAGGGCCCTCAAGCACAGGCTCTCCCCCAGCCTGTTCCCATGTTCAGCCCGGAGCGAGCACTGCAGATCAGCCTGGGGACCTGGCTGGGCCCAGCACACTGAGTGACAGCCCCACTTACAGCCTAACTGGGCCTCCATGCGGTCCGGCTTGTAATACACTGACATCCCGCTGTGCTGGAAGGTTCCATTAATCAGCCTGACCAAGCCTCGTGGTCTCATGTCAAATCACATGGCTGCATCATCCAATCCTGCCTCAAAGTCATTTCCCGCACTCATGGTAAGCAAAGGCTGTGCCAAGACCAAGCCAGCAAACACTCAAAGCCCTGCACCAAGGCAGGAGCCCTGGCTGGAGAGAAACAACTACTTCTGATGACCTCTGCTCAAAATCCATGTAAGGGAAACCACTTGGGGCTCTGGGGGCCTCTTGTCTGGAAGATGGGATCAGGACACCTGACTGGTCTGCTTACAGGTGTTGCTCTCCTCTCTCCTGCCCCCCCCCGCCGCCCACCACCTGCCCCACACCTGGTCAGTGCAGGCCACTGAGCTGCCTCAGGCATGGGGCCTCCCCTTGAGGAGCTTCCAGTCAAAGGCAGATCTGCAAGCAAAGACTTCCCTGTTGGTTCACCCAAGGCTTCAAGAGAGGAAAGTCAGGGGCTGAGGACCCCTCTATGGGGTGGTGGTGGTCAAGAAAGGCTTCTCAGAGGAGGAGACACTTGAGCCAGGCTGCCCTCCAGGGTGGGGACCCACTCTCACCCTGGCCATGGGAAGGGACCATCTCTCCCGCACAGGGAGGCCTAGTTCAGGGCCCTCCGAGACCCACCAGAAGCAACGCTTTCTATCTCCGCCTGGGAACAAATCACCGCAGGGGCCTCCACCAGTGCACTCTCCCACCCTTTCCCACCTCAAAAACCCGGGCCCTGGCTCCGCAGAAACAGGTAGCAAGTCACACTCAAAAGTGAAGCATCGTGCTCGCGGCCGACCACGCGCCGAGATATATTCTCATTTCGGCTCCTTCAACCAGTGAAAGTCAGTCACGCTGGTGCAGAAAGGGAAGCTCCACGGGGCCAGGAGATGACTCACTCACTGTCAAACAGACACAAAGGAGCTCCCAGCCCAGGCGCGACCTGGATTACAGAGAATGACAGCGACCCTCAGAACTGATATTTGCGGAGTGCGAGGCACCCTGCTAACTCATGTAACCCACACGGCAACGCCACCGGGCACTGTTATTACCCCCATTTCACTGTCGAGAAAAATGGAAGCACAGAGAGATGAAGGGACTTATCTCAGGGTACGCAGTTAGTAAGCGACACAGCTGGGACTGGAATCCAGGCAGCTGGCGCCAGCACCATGCTCCTGATCTTTACACTGTCCTGTCACCGAAGGTCTGGACTCCTAAGGGACCACACCAACATACGATCTCACGACTTTCTTGTTCTGCTTCTGCTCCTAACTTACAAGTGACCTGGGGCAGGTCACCAAGAGCAGGGTCCCCATTAGTAAACAAGAAAGTCCCTTCTCACTGTGTACTAGGAGAGCACACACAGCAGACACGGCATATGAGGCTTCAAAGTTCTTTGTAGAGAAAAGTTATCCTTATGCCAAGTATCAATAATTGTTTAAAGAGCTTCACACAGCTACCAAAGAGGCTAAAACTCTCAAGAAGCTATCAAGAAGTGTGTGTCACTGGACAGAAGACAGAGCAAAGATTGAAGACGAAGTGTCCAGTAGGAGGCATCCAGTAGGAGGCACTACTTTGTCCTTGGCACTGTGAGTTGGAACTGCAGTAATAGCGAGTAAAGGGAACAGAGAAATGAGGGCCTGTGCACTTTTCAGGTCCTCTCAACAAGCATGGGAAGGCGGGGCACTACATACTTCATACGCCTTGCTCTAGAGGAAAATAAAGTTATTCTCCTCAATTTGGAAAGCATTTTTTTAATTATGAAAGAAAACAAGATACAATGAACAGATGAAAGGGCCTTCTCACTAGACTCATGAAGTTTTGTTTCCTGCCAGTGATTCTTTCTAGGTATGGAAAGAAAACTGATACTTCGGATGAAAGAGATCCACCTCTAAAGATGGCCATTTGAAAGGGGAAGGGTATTTCAAGTCTATTTCATCAGTTTAATTGTGCCTGGGCCTTATCCAGAGGAACAGAAGGGATCAAAAGATGTCTCTTGAAGACGTTTCTCCAAGGGAAAACTGCAGATGTGCTGACGCGTGAGCCTGTCCGGCCTGTCTGGATCCTGGGTGGCCCTCACTAGGCTGATGGATAAACTGCACAGACACACAGGCACTGAGCGCCAGTCTCCGGAGGAGCCCTGGGAAGTTCATCACCTTCATGCTGAATCTCTCCTCCCGCAGGGGCACAAACTGGAAAACATGGTGCTAACTAAGATAAGAAAATAGGAGACAGCAATTTTCCCCAAATCTCAATGAACAGATGGACAATTTAAAATATGGGAGAGAGAGAAAAACACCAGTGTTTTATAATTCAGCAGTGCCAGGCAAGCCGAAGCTCACCTCTTTCCCTCTCTGCCATGTCTTCCAGCTCATCACGCGCAATGGAAGAGATGTTTCCACACAGTAAACAAGCATGTAAGCCGGAAGACAGTTTAAAGAAAGTTCCGACTTCAGGTCCCTCTTTGAACTTCAGAAGAGCCGCCTTCTCAGAGTGGTGTCGTTAGTCAGCAGTGCCATTAGTCAGCCTTTGGAGCTGTTAAAACAACTGAACATGTAGTCATAATCCATAAGACATATCCACTGCACCTCACATCGTGGGGCCGTCTCCCAAACCTACCATCAATCTGCTGTGCCTTCGGGTATTTCATAAGAAAATGCAGTTTTCAAACAGCTCAGCCAATCTCTGCAAGTCTTCTGCTACTAATGTAGTCCCTTGAAATAGAACGGCAGCACCACTCCTCAAGTTTTTATATTTGATGTTATTCCAGATTTCTGATGTTTCAGAAAACAGAAGATCATAGAGGAACTCCTCAAAGGCAGCCTGTATATGAAACCTTTAGCCCGCAACCATCTTGATTGAACTGAGAGGTTTTCTTGTCTCACAATCCGTCCACAGAAGACAAATGAGCACTTTTGGGCCCACCATGCCCGGAACAAAAAGCCTGTTCTATTATTAGATTGACCCCTTATGGTAACCTGAAAAATGTGTTTTTCCGCCAAGCAGCACTCCTGATCCAAGCTCCCTGCCAAATGCTTCCCACATTCCACTCCACTCCAACCCACCACCCCTAGGACCCCTCCAGATGAGGCACATGGCCCCCAGCACACTCTTTGGGCCAACTGCCTCGGCCCAGCCCCTAGCCACTGCCCGTCTCTCCTCCCCATCACTTTCACCTTCTGCTTGGTGGGCTTCACAGTGGTCTTTTATCACTATTTCCTTGGGGAGGGGGCAGGGGGGGGGGGGGGGGTGCGTGAAACACAGCGCCTCTGCTATCTTCTCACAGAGGGCTGATGGCTTTCTGTACCTTTCCAGGCCCTCAGCCTTGTCTTGGAAACTTCATTTAAGGGGATGGCCCCTTCCTGCTTTTAATCTAGATTTCATCACTTCTCAGCATCGGCTGTGAAATATCATGGCCTCTGTCCTAGGCCTGGGGAACGCTCAGTCTGCAGGTGGATGCAGCAGTTCTCCCCCTTCCCCCTGCGGGGTGGGGGCTCCATCTCACTGCTGTCCCCTGATGCCCTTTCCATGGTTCTCAGTGCACACTCCCTCTCTGGCTCACGGTCCCTCTCCGGCTCACGGTCCCTCTCCGGCTCACGGTCCCTCTCTGGCTCACGATCCCTCTCTGACTCACGGTCCCTCTCCTGCTCACGGTCCCTCTCCGGCTCACGGTCCCTCTCCGGCTCACGGTCCCTCTCCTGCTCACGGTCCCTCTCCGGCTCACGGTCCCTCTCCGGCTCACGGTCCCTCTCCTGCTCACGGTCCCTCTCCGGCTCACGGTCCCTCTCCTGCTCACGGTCCCTCTCCGGCTCACGGTCCCTCTCCTGCTCACGGTCCCTCTCCGGCTCACGGTTCCTCTCCTGCTCACGGTCCCTCTCCGGCTCACGGTCCCTCTCCGGCTCACGGTCCCTCTCCGGCTCACGGTCCCTCTCCGGCTCACGGTCCCTCTCCGGCTCACGGTCCCTCTCTGGCTCACGGTTCCTCTCTGGCTCATAGGCCTCTCCAAAGCTGCCTCACCCCACTTCACTCCACTTGCTGTCCACTCCACCAAGCCCTGGCTGACCCCCGCCATCTGCTTCTGCTTCACACCTTTTCTCAACCTGTCAAAGGGACTGGAGGCGGACCCGAGCCTCCTGCTAATATTCTCCAGCACGCATTTGTTCCCCAGCAACACTTCCCATCCCGGTCTTATCAGCTCCCCTCCACACAACCTCCTTGGCTCCCTTCCATGTTCTTTTCTCTCCTAAAAGCCCTTGTTCCCTTCTTACTTTCCAATCTCACACTTGCCCTTGAAAGCTTAGGCTGACATTATCAGAGGGCAACCAGATGTCCCTGTTTGCACAGCCTGTCCCTGTCCTGGTGATTTTGTCCTTGGCCTGGGAATGACCGTCCAGGGATGCTGGTTCTCTGCTCCTCAGTCCACCATGAGCCACGCTTCTCTCCTCTCCCCACCCCAGAACATGGAATAACTGCTTTGGAAAAAGTTGCTCTATGCTTCGTTAATTCATTTTGCATACTGGGAGCTAAAGGCTTTTTAACATAGCACACGAATAAATGTAAATTTATACACTATGCAAAAATAATATAAAAATATGCCTTTAGATTTTCTGGAAAAAGTCTGGTCAGTCTATGAATTCCTCCCCTTGTCAACAACATTACTTGGTAACTCCTTATCCCTCTAGCATGCTGCTTCCTTAATACCTGCCCATCCTCAGCAATCTCTGCCTCCCTTGTCCTGTGCTAACTCATTATTGCTGATAAACACATGATTTCTCTGCTCCCTTCTCACTACACATGAATTTAAACACAAACATGAAGGCTAAGTTATTAGAAGATCGTACGATTCCTCTGGGGTTGAATTTACATTTCTCTTGTCAAGTCTGTCCTCCGATTTACCGTTCATGAATACTAAAGTCACTCTTGCTTTTTAACAATACTAACAGGCTTGCATTTCTGCTTAAGCCGGAGCCCTCCTGCCAGCTAGTGATCTGGCATCTGCTGCCACTTACAACTCCTGGCATAACTGTCCTCTGCCGTCACAGCAGCCACCTGACCACCACCTGTGACACAGACGAGGCTTCCTTCTTAACAGCCCTCACTGACTACTTGTCCGCCAGCTCCTTGCCTTCCTCTCTGAGCATCAGGGCTGCTGCAAGCACACTTTCCATCCTCTCCCATGACCCACGACCTGCCTCACGCTTGGCTCCTTCCCTTGGAGCCTCCGTGTTTGGCTCTTTGATGCTCCCTAGGGCTCTGTTCTTTAAACTCCTTCTAGTCTTGACCTTCTGACCCTGGCCTCCCTGGCCGCCCCCCTTGCCACTCTCCCTGCGTGCCAGGCAACTGTCAACGCTCAGCTCTGTTTCCGCTGCCCTCTGCCACACAGGTCAGGGGCCCTGCCTCCTCCCTGGGGCTTGACCTGGTAAGACAGCCTCTCCTCTCCCCGCTGGCACCTTCCTCTTAACTCAGGGACTTGCAAACCAATCCACCTTCCGTGAGGGCAGAGACAGAGCCTTTTGTGACTTAGCAAGAGATGTCAGTTCTTGGGTTTTAATCTGTCTCTATGATGTATTGGTGCGAATATTATCCCCATTTATATAGCTGAGGAAAATGAGGCACCGAGAGGGTGAATAACCTGTCCAAGGCCCCACAGCGAATAAGAGCCAGAGCTGTGATTCTAACCCAGGCCAGCCTGGCTCTGGGACCTCCTCCTGGGCCTCTAGAGTATACACGAAGGCCCCTTCCTCCCTTCCTCTATCCAAGGCCACAGAAACACAGCTTTCCTGTGCAGCTTGTAGGGAAGAGGACAGAGAGGGAGTGTGACATCTCAGGGCTGAAGAGCCTATGGGGTCCAGGGGCTGCCCCTCCACAGGCACAAGAGGGTCCTGCGGCACCAGTGGGAGGGGGACGCGCCCTTGGCTGCATGGGGCTCCCCCTGGCTGTGGGCTGGGCTCTTGGGGGCAGGCTGGGGAGAACACAGGCTGGGTGCATCATTTAGAAAATCACCAAGAAGGCGTGTTCGAACTACCTTCGGGAGCCACACTGAGCAGTCACTGGGCAAAGTTTCTGACTGCAAGACAAATCTGTAGTCCCGCTCTTCTCAACCTGCCTCCAATCGGGATGGCTTTTCACTGTCTCAGGATCCACTGAGAGAGCTTTTAAGAGTTTATTATGATGACCCCTCTCTACTGGCAAGACCTCCAAAGCAGCTCATGTCTCTGAGCCTCGTAAGGCGCAGCCATTGCTGATGGACCCCGCAGGCGGGGCTCACCACGGCCCTGGTCTCGCTCACCAGCTCCCTCGTGCCAGGTCAACTGCTCACTCCTTTCAGAAAGGAAAGCGCCTGGCATGTGTCAGGCATCTCAGGTGTCTTGAAAAGCTCCAAAGGTGAAACAGAAAACTCTCCTGGTGCGATTTTCCTATTTGATCTTTTGTCTCATGTGTTCCCCTTGGGGATGAACGAGAAATACTTTCCTGAATGATTCATAGGCCCTGAGGTGGAAACATGTAGCCTCTTTTTAATAAAAAGGCTGGGATGTGGCGGGGATTGTACCTCTTCTGGATGCTGTCAGCAAAAGCACAGAGACCTGACAAGCTCTTTACAAATTCCTCTTCTAATAGTGAGACAGAAATGAAAAGCCACGTCATATTTTTAATCAAACAGACTAACATTTGGATAATATGTAAAATTATGTGTAAATCTGTATGGGGCTACAGAAAACTCACAAAGAGAAGCTGGAAAAAATTAAGTAGCTGTAATTATGGTAGGGTTTGATTTCTTTTTAAAACTGAAAATGACTGTCTTCAGTTTCCTATTTCATGAGCACCTACTAGGTGCCAGGAACTCTGCTAGGATTATTATGTAAATCAGTTCATTCTTTCTCAACATCCCACTGGGGTAGGAGGCCAATCCACCGAAACACACCAAGGCGCCTAAAGGTTACATGACAAGTCCGAGCTTCCCCAGGAGTCAGGACCAGGGCTTAGTTCGAGTGCACATGTAACTCATAAGTAGACACTCTTTCCACGGGGCCTAATTCCCAGTGCGTCAGCATTCTTCTGCTGGAAACCAGCAGTTAGTGCCCAGCCCCTTCTACATTTTGCAACATTACTATGAGAAATGGCAAGATAATGAAGGCTTTGGGATGCTTTGGGGAACATTTTACTTATTAGTTACAAAACCACATCCTATTAGTCTTGGACAGACACAGCCTGTCTAGTCAAATGCCTTCATTTTGCAGAAAGGACACTGAGGTGCTGAGAGCTTAGGGGCCTTTCCTGAGGTTAAAGAGCAAGCAGCTGATGTTGCCGGGACCAGAACTGTGTCCTCAGACTCCCTGTCTCTTTCCATATCACACTCTTCTATATCACACACCACCACCTGGTTATGGGTGCTAAGCCTCCACGGGTACAGACACAAAGGGCCCTGAGCTTTATAATAAAAGGCTCTTCTTTCCTGCAGTTCATGACATCAGCGATGTCTACTGCTAGAAATGAAACAACAGTTCAGAACTAAAGCCCAGCATGCAGGCCCAGAGAACGCGGCACAGCTTTTCACAAGCTCCTCAGACCTTGGTAACTTGTGAGTTTCAATTCAGACCCTCACAGGAAGATGACAGAGGACTGGTGAGGCAGCTGCACTAACATACGTTCATAACAGACAGAACCGCCTGAGCGAGCAGTCTCCCCTCCTAACTGAAACCGACACGGCCAGGTGGCTGGCTCCAGGGTCTCTCAAGAATGATCCATGGCAAGGGGTGGGGGCAGCAGGGCAACCCCAGGCTTCTGGCCCAGGCTATAGATGAAGGATGTGTGCTCGTGGTGTGCCGCCACACCCCCGCACAGCGTGGACACTGGGGTGGCTCATCTGCCTCCCACCTCTCAGGGCAACACGGCCAAACACTCCCGCTGGTAGGATGCTCCCTCCCAGCCAACGGCCTCAGAGACATGCTGGAGTCTCAGGCTCCCTTAAGGGAAGAGAGCCTCTCAGTTTGTAAAGTGTTCTGATCCTTGTCCTGAAGTCTCCCCGGGATGTGGAAATCCCCAAAGGTGGCTACTGCAAGCAGCGCAGAGGCTGAGATAGCAGCCGCAAAGCCCCATGGCCACAAGAATATCTTTATCAAATCCAGAGCCACAGGGTGGCTTAGACCGCTGGCCAGGAGACCACAGCACCTAACAGGACATCCGATATGGCTGCTGAGGCTATGCACAGCCAACTCTGGGGGCGCCATTTGCACAAACTATGGTAGAAACAGTGCTCCCTGGCTTCAGGCCATGTGACAGCCTGGCAAGCTAACTGCATGGGGCCTTTGGAAGCAGAAGAGGGTGTGAGGGTCATGTACTACCTGCTGCTTCCAAGGGCTGTCCCCCTGCCAGAGTGGGGGCCGCAGCCGGGCCCGCGGACTCACCAGTCGCTGCATGCTCTTCACGTGGGTGGGGCTGATGGCTAAGGCCTCTTCATACCACCGCCGCGCCTCGTCCATGCTGCCGCGGAGCTCGGCAATCTGGCCGCGCATGTAGAGGACGTTGTGGGACATTGGGAAGAGGTTGGCAGCTTCTTGGGTACAGGCTGTGGCTTCTGCAGGCTTCCCGATGCCGATGTAGACTTCAGCTGTGAGGAGAGAGCAACGGCACACGCTTTCCTGGTGCCCCTCTGAGGCCCTGCGAGCGGCCACCACTCTGATGTTCATGTTTCCCGCACAGGAGTCTGGAGGGGCCCGTAGCCGGCGGATCCCTGCTCCGAGTGGAAACGGCTGCCGCCGACAGCCCCTCCTGCCCACTCCTACACAGGGACTGGAGTCACTTGTGTTGCAGGCCTTGCAGGGCAGGCATAGGTCACCACCAGGCAGGGGGCAGTGAGGCCTGCCTGGTCCCTGCCCCAACCTCTGAGGACACCCACCCTCAGGGCCCACACGGGGCTCCTCAGTGTCTGGACAGAGCCTGGCCTGGTCCTACCCTTGGCTTTGATCCCCATAGAAAAAGGGCCAGAATGCACATGGGGACAAGCAGGCCAGAGGCACACAGACCCTCAGAGGGCAACAGCTCTGCCCTCTGACCCACTCTCCTGATGCCAAGAAGTATGATGGGGCTGTGGGCTGCGGCTATCATGTTCACAGCGTGATGCAAGATGGCTGCCCTGCCAGACCTGGCCCCTGAGCTCATCTCTGACCAGGGAAAGTTGGTGCACCCTGTAAAACTCTTATCTGTGTCACAATGACAAAGCCCTTTGACAAGCCAAGCTATTGCTTTTAAAGCAAGCAGGAAAATGACCCTCCCACTGACCCCAGGCCTCAACTCTCTCACCTCTACATGGAGCCAAACCCCTCTGCAGCCCTGGCCTCCCTGAAGAGCCCTTTTGAGTGTTTCCAAGGGCGGCCTCCCTGCCTCCCAGGTGCACACCTGTCGAATATCCAGGGGGAATGCGTCACCTGGCCCCAGGGCCTCTTCTCCTGAGGTCTTGCCAATGGAGGCACCACCATCTTTCTAGTCAGCTGGGCCGGAGGCTTCAGGGACATCTGAATCGCCCCCACCCCTCTCCAGGGCCAGCAGGGCCACATGGTCAAGTTTGCAGCCCAGAGCCTCACGCAGGGGCCACCTGCTCACGGACCCCTTCTCCCACCTGCAGGCCAGACCCTTCCTTAGCACTCTTGCCTTGACCACTGGCATACTCTGAAGTAAAAGAGGTTTGCACCCCTATCTCCCAGTTATGTGTATGTTTGTATGAATTAATATATTACATGTCATATAATCCACAACAGCACACAAAATAGAAATGTTAAAAGAACAAAAATTAAAAAGAAAGTTTAGGCAGGGTGTGGTGGTTCGCGCCTGTAATCCTAGCACTTTGGGAGGTCAAGGTGGGCAGATAGCTTGAGGTCAGGAGTTCAAAACCAGCCTGGCCAACATGGTGAAACCCCGTCTCTACCAAAAATACAAAAAATTAGCCAGGCGTGGTGTTGCGCACCTGTAATCCCAACTACTAGGGAGGCTGAGGCAGGAGAATCACTTGAACCTGGGAGGTGGAGGTTGCAGTGAGCCAAGATCACACCACTGCACTCCAGCCTGGGTGACAGAGCAAGACTCCGTCTCAAAAAACAAAACAAAACAACAACAACAAAATAAAGTAGAAAGAAAGTTTTACTATTTTCTTTGTGCACCTTACCACATCATCTCCTGGAGCCCACTTTGGAAACAGACTCAATTATGCGGAGACTCCCCTCCCTGCCTCCCGCCCTGGCCATGAGCCTGGCATCCACAGCTGCTGCCAGCTTAACCCTGAGGCCACCCTCTGGGGCGGCAGCCACCTGCTCCAAAGCCCTTCTGCCTTGGGGCTTATGGCTTCTACCCCTGCCCATTAGGCAGCCAGGCCGAGGCCCTGTACTCTGATTTTCCATCTGTGTGCACCCACTGGAACGTGGGCTATAAGCGACATGAGGGCAGGGATGGTGTCTGTGCTGCCCACTGCTGTGTCCCCAGGGACTAGAACAGTGCCTGGCACATAGTCAGAGCTCACTGAATCGCTGAATGGATGAATGGTGGATGAATGGTAACTAACAATAATAGCAGCCAACATTCATTAAACATGTGCTTTGTACCTGGAGGCCTTCTCAGTTCTCATTTTATCTGCATGGTGATCCAGTAGGTACTATTATTCTATCCCCATTGTCCAGATGAGGAAACTGAGGTGCAGAAAGTATAAATACCCTGCCCGAGTTCTCAGGGCAAACTGGAGGCAGAGCTGGGATTAGAACCCCAGTCACCTGGCTGAGAACCTGTGCTTGCAGCCCCCACAGAGAACAGCATCTCCTCTGGCCCAGGGTGACATCCGACTCCTTTGCAGGCCTTGGGAGCCGGGCGCAGTGCCCTTATCTGCTTCCTACCGCCTCCCCAAACCCCCAGGCTCTGGCCTTGCTAGTGCTGCTTCTGCACACACAGTGGGTGTCCCCATCTCCTGTCGATTCTGTGGCTTTTGCCTGTAAAGCCGTCACTCCAGCCTCCTTCAGGGCCCAGATGGATCCCGCCATCCCAGGGAGCTCTCTGGCCACCCGCCTCAGCTGAAAGGAAAGCCCAGCCTCGGCAGCTCCTGATAGCCGGGTCCCTGTAAGTACTTTTGTGAGGTCTCGGGTATGCCTGGGATAGTACACTCCCAGGGCAGGCGCTGGGGCAGATCCACCTTTCCGGCTCCCAGCTTCAGGCCTAGGGGCGGGGAAATGGCTGGTGTATATCTCATGGCTGTGGTTAGTGGCAATGCCACTGCCCTTTGACCTCAATCAGCCTGGCCGGTCCCTCCCTCGAACACCTCACTTCCCTGGTGATGATATTTGCACCAATGACTGACTCCCCAGGCCTTCTCTCCCCAAGGGAAGGCCCTGGAAAAAGCGGGCCTCGCCTGGCCCAGATGCACACAGTACCTTCTGTCTGTCCTTGCGCCTGCCAGTCCCTCCTCACCAGAGATGACGGGGCCCAGGGGCTTGTGGAGGGGCATACTGGGTGACTCCTGCAGACACAGAAACTCGGGCAATGCCAGCACCATGCACTGAGCCCTGAAGGTGAGCGCCCAGCCACACCTGCCTCCCGATCTCAGGAGACTCAACTCAGAAGGTACCTCCTGAACTTCTGTACACACAGGGGACTCTACAGGGACAAAGAAGACATTTCTCTGTCCTTTAGTTTGGACCAGGCAAAATCTCTCCCTTCTGGGAGACAAACACCCTCCTAATGACACTGTCGGGGTATCTGATGCCTTTCAGGAACACAATTCCCTCGACGCCCTCACCAAAGACTTGAAGATGTGCCCACTGCAGTTTTGGGTTCTCGAGCGTGGCAGCAACACGGGGGAGCAGGACAGAGCATCGCTCTCATTGCACGCCTGGCTCCTGCCTCGCTGACAAGCTGGGAGTGGGTTCACTTCCAAGATCCCAGTCCTGGAGATGCTGTGGGCTGGTGAGGCCGCCCAGCCTCTCCCACTTAGAGCATTATGAACAAAGGCCGACATGGGAGAGCAGGGATGAATGTGTCCAGAACAAGAATCAACGTAGGGAAAGCGGTAAATGCCAATAAGACTGTGTGCATGTCATTCTGCTCTCCAGGGGTCCTCCGTGAGACCAAATGTGATTCCAAGCATCTCACTGGTCACTGAGCCTGCATAAGCCTCAGGTCTGATGCAGACAGGTCAGTGATGTGATGGGGAAATGGGAGACGCAGACGGAACCAAGTCAGGATCAAGACAGTAAGGGAAAGAATCCAGGCCCCATTGCACTTTTCAGTGCTGTGGAAGTTGCTGGAGGAAACCTATGGCTCTGATAAGGCCTGTGACCCTGACAGATGTGGCAGGAAAATGCACAGCCTAGGGTTGCTCCCAAATCCCTCCGTTTTCAGCTCAAAAGCAAGGACTGAAGCCACAATGTCCTGCAGCGATTTTCAAACCATTTTCACCAGTGGAGGCTGTTTCTTCCAAAGAGACCTTACCCCAGGATACAAAAGACTCCTAAGAGTGGGCAGTGTGGCTACCTCTTGTTTGCCCCCGTCTCTGCCTCCGAGGCACCACTGGGAACACTAGGGTTTCCAATTTGTAAGCCACAGTGTCATGAGAACATGGAGGACTTGGTTCCTGGCCCTGGGCCTCGTGTGTGGCCTTGGGCAAGTCGGTCACCTTCTCTGGGCCTGTCCACCTGTCAGGTGGCGGGCCTGCACCTGGCCCACAGCTCTCCCAGGGCAGTGGCAGGCATCAGACAACACAAGAGTGGCAGGGGTCAAGACAAGGCCGTGCCAAGAGATCAACCCTAGGCTGAGCATTTTCTGTCAGGAGCACAGGCCTTATACCAGTACTATGGGTTTCCTACAGCAACTTCCATTCACCAGGAAGCCTGGAGCCCAAAGCGAGTCACGAATGGTGAGGGTAACTCTTAGTCAAGCCTAAGCCCTCTTGGAGACCACAGGGTGAGCAAGCTGAGGTGCAAAGACATAACTGGACTCATTCGAGCCTTGCAGCAGCTCTATTTCGGGCAACAGGCATTCCGTCTCTAAGAGGAAATTACACTTAGGCTTCAGGGATGAAGCTTTAGTGGTGGGGTTTCAGACACCAACCAGGTAGTCTGAGATGGAGTTGGACAGGAAAAGGAAGGGATTACTAAGGTTTCCCACCACCCCTGAGATCACCCCAGGATGTAGCCTTCTTGCCTAGGCATGTGGCTGGGCCTCTAGGATAGAACGAGGCCACAAGTATTGACTATGAACCTGCACTACTTGACAAACCTTCTTTCCTGGGAGTCCATAGCCCAAACAAGGACCACATTTTCCAGCCAGCCTCCCCAGTAGCAGAGCTTGGGATCTGATCTCCATCTGCCTCCCTCCTCTTCATTGGTTTGGAACTCAGGAAGAAAAGAATATCATTTATACTTTCCCAAAGCCCCCCACACAGAAACTGTATGGCTTTCTCACTAAACTACAGACAACTCCTAGCCACACTCATCTCTGTATCCCTCAGCAGAGGATCGAGAGGCCGGTCCCCTAGAACACAACTTAGTAGGTGCTTAAGAAAAGTCTGCAGATTAATGAATGCTGGGTGTGGTCAGAGCAGGGCAGCCATTTCTGTGGCACAGGTCAATGAAG